AGTGTTGCCTTGCTCTGTTCTAACGACTGCCTCTTGGTCCAAATATAGGTTTCACATTAGCACGATTAAATGTTCTGGGATTCCCATTCTTCTCAGAGTCAGCCACAGTTTGTTATGATCCACACAGTCAAACACCTTTGCATAATCAATGAAACACAGATAGACATTCTTCTGGTATTCCCTGCTTTCAGCTAAGATTCATCTAACATCAGCTACAATATCCCTAGTACCATGACCCCTTCTAAACTCAGCCTGGACTTCTGGCAGTTCTCTGCTGATTGCTCTTCCAGTCATTTTTGGATAATCTTGAGTAGAATCTTGCTTGCATGTGAAATCAATGATATTGTTCTGTAGTTTCCACACTCAGTTGGGTCACTTTTCTTTGGAATGGGAACAAATGTAGATCTCTTCCGGTCAGTTGGCCAGGTGGTTGTTCTCCACTTGTTTGTACTTGGTGTACTTCTGACATGTTTGGAAGAAGTCTAGAAGAAAAATTTCCAGGTATTTTGAGGAATGGGGAAAGCCACATTTAAGAAGCACAGTGACCACCAAATAGACTGAACCCAAAAAGAAAATCTTCAAAACATAGCATAGTTAATGTCACCAAAATAAAAGATAAGGATAGAATACTAAAAGCAGCATAAGAAAAAGAGTTAGCTATAAAGTGGGGGAAAATTAGATTAAGTTCTGATTTCTTAGCAGAAAGCATGTGACGTAGAAGACAATGGGATGGCATATACAGAAAGTTGAAAGAAAACAATTGCCAACCAAGGATCCTATACTCAGCAAAGCTCTCCATCAAATAGGAAGAAAAAATTAGGTCCTTTTCAGAAAAGAAGGAACTTACAGAATTTGTGAAAACAAGACCAAACTACAAGAAATTTTAAGTGACTCCCTTCACACAGAGACACTAAAGTGAATGGACCGTATAACCAGAAACAACAAAGAAAGACACATGGCAAAATTACAAAATTAAAACCTGGATCGACAATGACACCTAATGTGAAGTAATATTAATTGTGCCAATCAAGAGAATAACAGTAGCAGAATAGATTAAAAAAAAATAGACTCAAAATCAAAGGCTGGGGTAAAAAATATGCCAAGCAAATGGAATCTACAAAAAAGCAGAAGTTGTAGTCCTACTCTCTGAAAGAATAGACTTCATGAATGAAAACCACCATAAAAGATAAGGAAAAGCATTACATACTGATTAAAGCCACAGTCAATCAAGAAGACCTAACATTGGTCAGAATTTATGCACCAAATAATAGAACTGCAAAATACATAAAACAATGGTTAACAAAATTGAATAAAGAAATAGATAGCACCACCATAGTGGTAGGAGACCTCAACATAACACAGTCACCAAATCAAAGATGCAGAAGAGCTAAGCTATACAATTAGCCAACTCAACTATGTGGATGTATTGCAGGTGCTGCACCCAACTAAAGCTCAATTCACGTTCTTCTCAAGTGCACATGGTACATTCTTCAGAGTCGATCACAAAATAGCACACAAAGCAAGTCTAAACAACAACAAAAAACCCCACAACATTGAAATAATACAAGGTGTCTTCTCCGATCGTAATACCATAAAACTAGAAATTAACCACAAGAGCATAAAGCTTACAAAATCACACATGTGAAAAGTGACTAACTCTCCACACAGCTGGGTTACAAAAGAAAATGTCCACAAGACAAGGACTCTAACAAAATTACAAAATGGGGGAAAGACATAGAAACAATTTTCATGAAGCAAAATATTTGAATTTTTAACAGACACATGAAGAAATGCTCAAAATCACTGGCAATAAGCGAGATGCATGTCAAAACTGCAATGAGATACTATCTCACTCCAGTGGAAGTGGCAAAATTTAACAGAACAACAAGTAATAAATGTTGGAGAGAATGTGGTGAGATAGGATCTTATTTGTGGGCTTGTTAAATGGTACATCCACTCTGGAAGGCAGTTTGACGTTTCCTCAAAAAGCCAAACATAGAAATTCTATATAACCTAGCTATCCACTGCTTGGAATATACCCCAAGAAAATGAGATCTGAGGTACAAATGGAGACATGTACACCAGTGTTCAAAAGCAACATTATTCACCATTGCAAGAAAATGGAAGCAGCCTAAATTTCCAACCATAATAAAATGGATTGAGAAATTATGGTATATTCACATGATGGAGTACTACGCATCTCCTAGGAGCAATGATTTTGTAAATCACTCCGTAACTTGGGAAAGACTGTAGAGCATTATGCTAAGTGAACTAACACAGCCTCATAAGGACAAATATAGGATAAGATCATTATTATACACTGTATGAAGATCCAAGGGGAGGAGCGTGGGAGCAGAATGGTGAGGATGGACGGAGGTGGGGATGGTAGTTAATCATAGGGTCATACAATTTGGTGGGTGGAAGAAAGGGTGGGTAAAGGAAATGGGAAAGGTCTGATGTGAAAAATAGTGTATGTGAACGGTGAAAGCAAAATAAAAATTTTCTTAAAAAAAAAAGAATATATGTGAAGTGTTGTAGAATAATGACTGAAGACCAAAATATCATAAAGAAAACAAAAGATCATTACAAAGTCAGGAAGGAAAAAGAGACCAAAATGGCTAATGTTGGAGCAGAAGAACTGTGTTCTGGGATGATTTGAGATGTCTAAGTTTAGAATGAGGAGATCTGGTCCTATGAGGATAAGTTGAGTGCCCAAGCACAGCTAGATATGTTGAAGGTGGGTCAGCCCTGCAGAATCTCCTCAGAGCTGGAAAGTCTGCAGATGAAACCGTGGGCTGATGATTGTTGCCATTGAGTCAACTCTGATTCATGCAGACTCCATGAGTGTGTGATGGGAGGCACCTATTCTTCCTATGACCCCCTTCTTCGGTTTCATGACTACATGTGTGCCTCGTACCTGCCAGCACGAGAGAGGAGGCATAGGTGGGTTTGTGACCCTGCCTGTCCCAGTGCTTCCTCCTTTGTTCATGTTCTCTGGATTCATATGGACCACAGCTGGAGTTGCAGGTTCCTAGCATCCTACTCAGTGGCTACTGTTGTGTAAACCCTGACAGGTGGGTTTGTGAGAGTTTGGCTGTGTCCAGAGGCTGTGGACTTGCTCAGTTTCCTGAACCCTTCATAGACAGGACTCCATCCTCCTCACTTTCCCTACAGTTAACTAGCACTGTGTGGCCAGGGACCCAGAGCCTAGGAAGTTTTAGGCTGAAGGAGCAGATGCCACCTCAGTTCTGTTATTAATTTGGGGCATGAAGGCAGTTTGGGGTCTCACATGTCAGCTGCTCAACTTCTTTGTGCTACAAGTGACTAAGCATGACCTCAGAAAGCATTTAAGTGACCCTCTGTGAAGCTTATCTGTGCTGCTCCTGCTCCCGGCTCCCATCTCTGGCCCCTCTATGTCAGGAAGAGGAACACCTCCATGTCTTCTCAGAGATGAGTGGCCTGCTTGGCAGTGTCCGGCTGTGCTTCTGGGCTGAGGGGTGAATAGGTGTTTAGGTGTCTTGGCACAAGGGTGGGGAGGACATTTCTCAAAGAGATGTCCTGGCTCGTGCATCCTCCCTGGCAAAGGGGATTTGAGGTCAGTAACCTGGCTCTCTGAAGAACCTGGACTCCTTTACACCCTGCATGTTTACATGCTGAATCTCTGTATAATTCTTAAGAATGGTTCAAAGTGCTACTCAACTTTGAAACTCAGAGGTTTTTCTTACATAAAGTGTGTATGTTCTGCAGAAAGGCACAGAGGCTTGAGAGCAGAGAGGAAGGGGGAAGATTTGAGATTGATAGAAGGAAAATCTCCAGCAAAGATGACTTAGAACACAGTTGTGGTACTATCTACCAGCCTTCCCCTGGAGCTGGGGAGAAAGATCCTCACTTGTCTCCCTGGAGTGGGCTTCTCCTGTTACCCAGGGAGCCAGGGACACCTTTTCAGGTGCTTGATACCTGTTCAGGTGCTTCCTGCTTTCATTTCTTCTTTAGCGACCCTGGATGTGCTGCTGCCTCATAGACTCTCTGGGACAGGAGCCTGCAGAACCTTCTTGGTGCCCAGCACCCCTGAAAACAGTGGTTCTCAACGTGAGACCCAGTACCAGCAGTGGCAGTGTCACCTGGGAACTTGCTGTTATGTACTGTTGAGTCAGAACAAATCCATAGCTGACCCTCCATTGGGTCTTCAGAAGCAATAAATTGCATGAGAGGAGATTGCCCATCCTCCTCCCGTGGAGCAGCTGGCTTTCCCAGCTGCGTGCCTTCGGGGTTGGCTGCACACTTCCTTGCCACTCAGTGACCAGAGCTCCCTGGGAACTTGTTAGAGGTTCAAATTCTCTACCCACCCTAGACCTCTTGAATGAGAAACTCAATCTTCCAGGTGACAGAGTGAGTACACGGTAGGCTTTGAAAATCTCTCTGCTGGACACCAAGTAACAGCTACCTGCACAGTAGCCTAGGGTGACAGCCCACCCTGGATGGCTACTTCCCCTGCCTTCTCCATGGGCTCAAGCTGGGGCTTTCCAGGCTGGGGCCAGGCTGGACAAGTGGGCAGGGCCTGCTACCCCATCATACCCTCCCGATTGGCCATGGGTGCGACTTTTCCCAAGAAAAATGGAGATTTTTCCTTGGCAAATATATAAGCTATTCTGGTTAAGTAGCAGAACTTACCTGCTCTCTCGTGTCCCAGTTTCAGGCATGGCAAACATATTCTGCTTTGAATAAAAATAACCAAAAGTAGTTCTAGGTAAAGATTCGAGTAACATCGTCCAATGTGGGAAGCACTCTTTGTTGATAACAGAAGTTGTAAAATTAATTAGTGTCCTGTTGATTTCAGTGTGTTGTCCTTGAATCATTTGGTTGCTGTGGTTGACAGTGACTCCCCTAGTCTAGATCGTGTGTTAAATCATTACTGGTGTAGGGACCAGGATTGGGGCAGGCAGCCGCAGGCAGGCCATGGTATTGTTTCGGCACACTTACGCTGGTTTCTGTCTTCCTAGGAATTACTCCTTCTATGTCCTTGACAACCAGAACCTACAGCAGCTGTGGGACTGGGAGCACCGCAACCTGACCATCAAAGCGGGGAAAATGTATTTTGCTTTTAACCCCAAACTCTGCGTTTCTGAGATTTATCGTATGGAGGAGGTGACGGGGACTAAAGGCCGCCAGAGCAAAGGGGACATAAACACGAGGAACAACGGAGAAAGAGCCTCCTGTGAGTGGACAGTGTGACAACTGCCTTCACTGCTTCCCTCCCTGGCTTCACTGGGATGGTAGACTGGGTTGTGAGGCCACTGACACACAGACATCTTGCACAGAAACGTCTCTGAAATTGTTAGTGGAACACCTTTATATATGCAAATAGCTCTAAGCAGCTCTAAGTAGGTGAAATATTTAGAAATCAGCCCTTACTCTTATTTTAAAGAGGTGCTTATAGGTTACTGATAATACCTTTTTGTGCACAAGTGTATGGTTCCATTGTTTTCCAAAGAAAAGTCAGCCCTCTCCTACCTGACCTGATAGTCACTCAGCAGGTCTCTGTGGTCCCCACAGTGTCCCCAAGAGGAGTAGGAAGAAGCTGAGCTAGGGCAGAGCCCCTGCAGTCCACTAGGCTCCTGCCCCTTAGTCAATTTCATCCTAGAACAGGGACAGTTGTCGTGACGAGCCATTAGAGCAAGTCAGAGCTGACCCTGCAGCAGGAGGAGATGCCCGTCCACCTGTCACTAGCAGCACCTTCCCCCTGAGCCACCAGAGCTTCCTGTGAGTTGATGCAGCTGTAAAATGTGTAAGGGTAACCTCGTGCCAGTTAGATCTCTTATCTGGAGATTCAGAAGTATAGTTCTAGCCTAACCTCATTTTTTTTTTTAAGAAAGATGTTTCTATTGAAATCAAAGATGATTTTGCTTGAACACACACGTGCACATGTACAGGTGCACACACACACATATACACAGGAGGATGTAGGTCAAACTCTGTGGAGTTGGATCTGACTCCTAGCTGACCCTCTAGGGGTTTCTGAGGCGATAGATCCCTCAGGAGGGAGGGTACCCATTTTTCTCCCCCAGAGCTGCCTGCAAGCTACTGCCTTTGAGTGAGCAGCACAACTCCTCTGTAAAAGTGCTAGATTTCAGCTTGGGTTGGGTTTGGTGGAGTTTGGATTAAACCTGGTAGACAGGTAGTTTAGGAAGGGTTTTAGAGAAAAGACATCTAATGCAAAACTAGAAAGTATTTTTGCAACCTGGGACCCCCCCCCTCCCCTTTCTCCCCATCTTTCACCACTAATGCCCCTGGGGTGCCCCCTGCTGAAATCATGACCAAGAGTATATTCAAAATGTTTTTTCCTCTTATGGCTAAAGCATCCAAAGACAGCAGTCACTTAGTCCTTTGAAAATAAGTCATGATTTTCTTTATAAATAGCATTTTACTGAGAACCCTGCAACATTGTCCTCATGTCCATGAAGCACATAAAACCCTAAAGAAATCCTAGAGGCTTCTCACTTGGGGCTGATTTCAATCTTTTGGCCTCACCTCCTGTGTATGAAGTGGGATAGGGCAAATATGGGGCTGGGAAAATGCCTTGTGTGTGGATCCTGGGATTTCCATATGATTATGTGCCATCAAATTGAAACCAACTCATGCCTGACCCTCTCTCTGCCAGGTTTTCAGAGGCACTAAATCACACAGGAGAAGATTGCCCATCTTTCTCCCATGGAGCAGCTGGTGGATTTGAAGCAAGCACCTTAGGCTTGGGAGTGCAGCTCCTTATCACTAGAGCTACCTGCAGTGTCCACAAGGGCAGGCATAATGCCCTAAGTCCCCCATCCCTGGGTCTTTTCTAGTTCTTTTCTTAGGTTGAATCTGATCCAGGGAGAAAGAGGGTGATGGGAAAGTTGCCTGAGGCCCTGCCTGGGAAGGCTTCCTTCCAGTAGAGCAAAAATAATCCCCAAGGAAAATGTCCACGCTCACTGGAGAACTCAGAGATGTTCCTCTCTCCTAGTTTGCCATCCAGTTTAGATAAACAGAAGATCCTGTCTGTAGCACACTTGACTGTTACTTATCTTTTATTATAAAGGCTTTCCAAGAGCGAAGAGCTCTGAAACTCCAAGGCAGGTGTCAGTTTATCTCGAAGAAACATCCATCTAGATTAAAGATTTACACTTACCATACGTGGGCTATCTTGGGTAGCCAGCATTTTAGAGACCTAAAAGATATATAAGAAGGCTCCTTGTCTAATGAAGTTGACCTTCACTTTCAGGTCAGGAAATACTCAGCAGCTCCACTGTCATTCCCTTGGAGAGTAGCCTTATATTTTGACAACCCTAAGTGCAGAAGACCTGTGTAGAACAAATGGTTGGTTAGCTTCTAACCAAATGAGTGGGGCGGGGGGTTTAAGTTCACTCATAAGTGCGCTGGGAGAGAGGCCTGCCTGCTCACCTCTTAGGCTTCAGCCATTGAACATCCTTGGGAGCGCACTTTTGCTCTGACACACATTAGTTGCTGTGAATTAGAATATTCATGGCTGGCTGTTTATCTTCCACCCAGAAAGCATTATAATGAACCCCTTGAAGCTATCTACATAATCAAATTTAGGATTCTTGTAGAAATAAAAGTTACCTAGGAACTCCAGAAAGAGACTTACAAGGTCCAGCCAGCCTTGAAGAGCAGAGAGCTAGAACCAGCTTAGGTGACTTTTTGGAGGAATTGGAAGGAAAATGATGATGCGTTTTGTCCCTGATGGGTGTGCTTCTGGCCCTAGGTGAGAGTGATGTGCTGCATTTCACCTCCACCAGCACCTGGAAGAATCGGATCATCATCACCTGGCACCGCTACCGGCCTCCTGACTACAGGGACCTCATCAGCTTCACCGTGTACTACAAGGAGGCGTGAGTATCTGCTCTGGGGACGTCCTTCTGTGGATGGGGCCGGGAGAGGCCAGGCCACTCCTCTAATTGTCCTTTATGTTAGCTGAATGGAGGGACTAGGGCGTCACTTGTCCAGGGAGAACAGTAGAGAGTGTCCCCTCACCCTCCACAGTATCGTGTGACTGTCACCATAGCTGGTGCTTACCACAAGTGGGAAAAGGTTAATGTCTATTCTTTAGCAGATACTTAGAAATGTCTGGCACAAAGGGAAAAGACCTGCTTCCCAGGTTAGGCCAGTGCAAACTGGGAACTGAGGTAGTGGAGATGGTTCGATCTCCATGCCTCGACCAGTGCTCTAGGAAACTAGTGGTCACCTTCACCCCTGGAGAGTGCATGGTTCACTGGGGAGACCCTGGGCTTCTCCACCATCAGATTTCTGCCACTGTGTCTGGGGAGCCCTCCAGAAAAGGGAGGGAGAAAGACAACAAACTGACCTTCATGCCTGAGACTCTCCATGACCTCTCCCAAAGCCCACTGGCAGGTCCTTCTCATGCCATGTTCACCTGTTCAGGTAGACTGCAGCTCCTTTTAGTCTCCCTCTGCTTTCCTTTGCTCCGGTGTCCAGGTGGTACCCCAGTATATGTCATCTTCCACCACTCCAAGTCTTATTTCAATGCTCCAGGTCTTTTCCCAAGGCGTGGCTTCTCATGGCAACAGCCTGCACCTGTTCCCCGCTAATGCAGGGGACCTGATGGAGCATAATCAGTGAGAAGAAGGAGCCTTAGGATTTCTAGATCTTCATTCCTCATATAAATGCTTCCAGTCATGGTCTCCTGTCTTGGTGACATTGAAGTTATGTAAACGTTTATTTGGACATGGACGATGGCATCCTTAGGTGTGGAATCCTACCTAAGCATGCATGTGTACAAACACTGTTTTCTGTTCAATAGTCTTACTAGTGCTTGGGGAATGTTGTCTAGTAATTTTACTAAGGAATTAATCATAGTTTCTGAGGTAATCTGGAAAGGAAATATTTTCATATTATAAGATACTTATGCCTCCAAATTGTAGAAATATTGGATATTAGAAACCATTTCTTTTGTTCTCTGTAGAGAAGTAATTTTTCTCTAGAAACATTATGATGTTTGCACTGACTATTCTTGCTTTTTAAAATTGCCACAATAGGAAAAGAAGAAAATGACGTGTGTGTGTGTGTGTGTGTATATTTACCTTTGTGTATATTATTAAGGAAAAGCATTATCAACCCCAGTAAAAATAGAGCTTGCTTTTCCTGAAGTGGAGTGTTAGGTTCTGTAGTGTGAACTAGTGGTGAAGCCAAGGATAGAGTTTACTTACTATTTTTAATCTTCTTTAAAACTCTAATTTATTATTTGTTTTGTTTAAAATTCCTGCTATAGAAAGTATGGCATGCTATGTCACTGGGCAGGATTGAGAGCTCTGATTTCAACATTGGGAGAATTTTTCTTGAGTTTTTTAACCCTCTTCTAGTCCTTATAAAAACGTGACCGAGTATGATGGGCAGGATGCCTGTGGCTCCAACAGCTGGAACATGGTGGACGTGGACTTGCCAACCAACAAGGACATTGAGCCAGGCATCTTACTGCATGGACTGAAGCCCTGGACTCAATACGCTATTTACGTCAAGGCAGTGACACTCACCATGGTGGAGAACGACCACATCCGTGGAGCCAAGAGTGAAATACTATACATTCGCACCAATGCCTCAGGTATCCAGACCTGCCCCTCACATCCATACTTCTTTAGTTCACTTTACTTGCTTGTTTAATAAGGCTGCCAATATGCCTATTGTCTCTGTGTGTCCTGCATCCTTCTGCATTTTATAGGTCTTGTATGTCAATCTTCAGCACTGTTGTTGATGTTACTAGCTGTTGCGTAGCCAATCTGAATCCCAATGGCCCCTTATTCAGTCGAATGAAATGTTGTTTAGTCCTACATCAGCCTTGCAATCAAAAATACTGATAATGGCTTAGAGTTGTCATTAGGGTTGTGTCAGTCCGTCTCACTGAGGGTCTCCTACACCCTTACCTCCTTTTCCCGAGACACGATATTGTTTAGTTACTTATCCCTCTGGATGGTGTCCAAAATCGGTGAGTCAGACAGCATTCTGCTACTCTTGTCAGGTTTTCATTGACTCAAATTTTAAGAAATACATCTCCAAATCCTTCTCCCTAGGTTCTCTCTTAGTCTAAAGGCTCTACTGAAATTTGTCTGCCATGGATGACCATGCTGGTAACAGTGTCCAATCTCACAGCAATATGCGAGCCACCATAATTTTACCACCTGAGAGAGAGACAGGGAGTGGATGATACTTTCTCATCCTTTTTCAGCCTCTGACAGACATTTTCTGGATTTTATGGCATTGTCTGGAGTTGGTCTGGCTGCTCTGAGCCTGGTCCTTCAGGTCCTTGATTGGTTTTGTTGGAAGCCTTCCCTGGACACACAGCCCACTGGGACTGCTCTTCTTACTATTTCAGCTTCCATAAAATCATCATGCTCAGTGTTTAGGACCTCACATGGCCCATTGGGTTGCCAGCTTCATCCTGTAGACCCTAAGATTCCATAGAAGTTGACAAAGTAGAAAACTATAGACATAATAGATTGTGGGTGTTGAAAAGTACTCACTAATGGAGATATTCCTCCTCCTCCCTTTATCATCATTTTCAAACCACTTCATATCTAAATTCCAGTGTCTGGAAACAATAAAAACCAAACATTTTTGTGTGTTTTCTAAGTAGATAAAGACCACTTTATAAATTCTACAAGAAAGGGCATATCATTCTTAAAGACACTAATAAACATTTTTGTCATAGTGCCATGGATAAAGGGTTATAAAACATCCATACATTTGCTCCAAGTAAGTAGATGGCAGAGAGGGTGAACAAAAGATTACTGTAGGGAAAACTTTTCATCCTGCACACCTGCTTCCTTCTCACTTCAGCTGGCTCAATGACAGTAAAGTGTTTGCTGAAAGAAGAATGACTCAACCTGTCAATCCCGGTGTGGGCTGAGTATATAGCAGGGCAGAGACCTAGTAACAAGATAACTTGTTAATCTTAAAATTTGGAAGTAACACTTTACAACTATTCACTATGGCAAGTTGGAGCAAATGGGAATTTCTCTTGATTATGGAAAATTCTTTATGAAACCTATTTCCTTTCCCCAAAGATAAATCCAAACACTATATAAATTGAGCCAATTTCTTTTAGCCCTTGCCTTTATAAGTGGTAGGAATAGAAAATAACCAATCACTGTACCCTTGCTTTTTCTGTAGCATGTGTGATTGAAATATGTAGAGATGAGCCTCTTTTTTTTTTTCTTAAATACTTTGTTTTGGAATATTTAATGTCATTAACATTGAGTAGTTATGTTTACTCTGAAAAAGCTAGCATTAGTCATATTTTTCCCCAGAGTATCATTTTTAAAGTGCTTAGAACTTACTGTGTGTTATATATTTTAAAACAAATTGCCCACCATTTTCAAACTTTTAAAAATACATAAAGTGAAAATGTTGCTTAAGTGGTCCACAACGAAGGTATCTCTGAACTTTGGGAAAAACTATCAAAATCAGTGAAGGTTTTTTCACCCTCCACAAATCTAAAGAATAGTTAAGATTTCTGTGGTCCAGGGATGTGTATGGAGTCCCAGAGTGGTTAACATGCTCAGCTTTAATGGAAAGTTTGGCCGCTTGCATCTATCCAGAGATGCCTAATGCGAAAAGACTAGACTAGTCTTTTAGAAAACCCAGCCCTTGCAGCCCTGTGTAATGACACACATGAGCTAGGGTGTCGATTTGGTGGCATCTGGTCTGGGATGTGTTGTGTTTTATGCATGTGTCAGCTCTGGGACTTGTTTTGGGGCAGTGGTAAGTTAGGTTGCCCATGAATGACTATTCCTTTTGCTGGAAATAGATTCTGATTTGAAAATCTGTGTTGGTGTTTATAGATCGTTGTTGTTGTTGTTGTTGTTGTTATGTGCTGTCGAGTCGCCTGCGACTCATAGCGACCCTATGTACAAAAGCCCTAAACTCTGCTCTGTCCTGTGCCAATCGCACTGTCTCTGACACTCCCATCCCAATTATCCCAATCACTGAATCAATCCACCTC